TCCCCCTTCCCTTCCTTTCCCCATCCAATGCCTTCATCGTCACCCTCATCTTGACCTCCCTTTGACCCGCCACTGACCTCCCGGACACACTCTTTTGGTTCCTCGACTCAATCAGCTTCGTTTCGACATACATCCTCGGCGACATGGTGGCCTTTCAGCCCGCTTTCAAGCTCATGCTTGTCAGTCTTAGCCTCGTCTTCGCGCTCGCAAACGACGCACATGCAGACGCAGGCGCACACGCACCAGCCGCCGTCCGCCGCCATGCCGGCCGCGCAGCTCGCATGTCCAAACGCTTCCCGCCCGTCGCAGCCTCCAACCCACAAGCTGCTCAGCTAGACAAGAGGCAGCGACACGGCATCTTCGGCCTCACCCCCGAAGAGATCGACCAGATCCTCGGCAACGAGCCCATTGACGGCGACTCCACCTACCCATCATCCAACAGCACCAACTCCACGTCTACCTCCACTCGCCGCGCTCCTCGCACACACACTCGCTCGGCAACCGACTCGGACTCGGTCGCCCCAACAAGCACGGCTTCGCTTCGCAGCTTTGCTCTGCCCAGCGCCAACTCCACTTCCACCTCGCACTCCAGCTCAACGGCAGACCCCACCGACTCCACCCACTCCTTCGCCTCGAGCCACGCGCCGTCCTCAACCTCGTCCCGATCTGCCTCCTCCCCAACATCCTCTGCTTCGTCTTCGAACGATCCATTCACCGACGCCGACGCCGATCCCACTTCGTCGTCCCCTGCATCCGTAGCCACCGCTTCGCCCACCTCGTCCCAGAACATCCTCGGCGGCCTCCTCGGCGGCTTGCTCGGCCATTCCACTGCCTCCTCCTCCTCCGACGCGCCTAGCCAGACTTCAAATGGCCAGCAGGGCTCAGACGACGGCGACACCGCCTCGTCAGCCAAGACCGCGCCCACCGCAACCTCCTCGGTGGATAGCGGCGACACCGATGGCGAGGCTCCTACCTCGTCCAGCCGCGCGCCCAAGCAGACCCAGCCCGACTTTTACAGCTTCACTCCCCAGCCCACCAGCTCCTCGTCTTCCTTGGCTCCCACCTCGACCGGCTTGGTGGGCAGTCTGCTCGGCGGCCTCGTCCCTTCTTCCTCCGCCTCCGCTTCAGCTTCACCCACCCCATCGCCAACAGGTACAGACTCGGGCTCCGACTCGGGCTCGGATTCTGATACCGCCTCCTCCACCCGCACCACCCAAACCAATGCCCCCAGGCCTACCGGCAGCGCCGATGCAGGCTCGGCCACCGACACCAACTCTTCCGACTCGGCTTCTTCCACCAGCTACGGCGCTGGCTCTGGCTCCTCCACCGTGTCCGACAGCCCAACCGCAACTGCAACCGTCACCGACGGACCCAGCTCCACCACACAAGATTCAGCCTCGGTTCCCACCGCCACCGGTACGGCCACTGCCTCGCAATCCGACTCGGGATCCGCATCGAGTGCAGACCCCCAGTCTTCTTCGTCGTCGGCATCGTCGGATGATTCCGCATCCTCATCAGCCTCGTCGACCGCCACCACCAACCCGTACTGGTACGCCAACACCCAGTCCCTCAAGATGGCGCCCAGCAGCACTTCCAGCGCCGCATCCCCAGCGCAGACCGGCTCGGACAGCTCGAGCAGTGGCAGCACCGACACCTCGACCAGTGCATCCGATGGCGGCTCCGGCTCAACCCCGGCGCTGCAGGACTTGCCCACCACCATCGTGCCATCCGCCGACTCGTACACCCAGCCGCCCGACACCACCTCGATCGGCCTGCTCTTCAAGCAGGACATGAAGTGGACCTGGGTCATCTCGCAGGCCGACCTCACCGCGCAGATCTTTGCCTTTATGCCCGACCTCGTCGGCCATTCGGTCAGCCTCGACTCGTCCAAGGTCTCGACGGTCAAGCTCGCCAGCTACTCGCCCGAGACCGGCAGTGGTGCGTCGGCCGCCTCGCTGTCCACCGCCAAGACGCTCTACATGGCGTACGTGCCTAGCTCGAGCGTCGAGGATCTCCAGGCCATGATTGCCAATACCTCGTCGCCCTTCTACACCTCGGCCGCTCCTGGCGCGCCTCAGCAGCTGGCGAGCCAGGTGGATCCTACGTTCAACATCCTCAGCGTTGCCGGTCAGGTGGCTGCTGGCGCCAAGCAGAATTCGACCTCGGGCAGCGGCAAGACCAAGGACGACTCGACGCTTCGCAACAGCCTCATCGGTGTCGGCTGCGGTCTCGCAGCATGCCTGTCGCTGGTTGCGGGCGGTGTGATGTGGCGCAAGCAGCGTCAGGCCAAGGAGGACGCTGTTGGTGGTGGCAACACCGGTGTGTCGCGTGCGCAGACGATCCGATCGTTCAGCGGTGGACTGCGCGAGACGTGGGCACCGGATGCGCTGGACCAGCACCGTGCGCTCGGAACGGGTGGCGAGATGCAGCAGGTCTGGATGGCCGATGGCGGTCCCGCGTACGTATCGAGCGGGCATGCGGATGGATTTGGCGGCTACGCTGCAGCAGATCCGTTCCAGGAATCAGCATACCATCCCGAGGCGGCAGGCGCATACGTGGCGATGAACAGGTCGAGCAGGATGACGGAGCGATCCCACTACTCGGACTTTAGCCAGATGACCGAAGCGCAACGCATCCAGTACGACTACGAATCATCGCGTCGCTCGTTCCACTCGACTTCCGAGCATTCGGGTACGCACAGCGAAAACAGCAACGAATCGGCGGGCATGTTGTCGACGTACCAGGAGGATTACCGTGTGCCGCGACAGCATACTACCAACCACGCGTTCGGCGCGAGGTCCAACAGTGTCACCCGCTCCACGAGGAGGAGAGGCAGCGTTGCAAGCTCCACCATTGGCAGGCCAGAGATGATGAGCAATTCCGTCCTGCTCTAAAGCCCATCCCCCACTTTCTTTTTTCCGTTTTGGTTTCGGTTTCATGGATTCGTTTGCTTTGTAACGGAATTACTTTCGAGGCAGTTGGGAGGTCTGGATACCCTCAACGCCCCTCGCACACACCCACTCACACTCCTTTTTTTCGCCATTCACAAGTATATATCTCCCCGCCAAGTTGAAAGGAGGGGAGAAAGGTTTTCAAATCATACATTCGTTCCGGTATCTCCGTTGGGGTCTGATGTGTGGGAGGGATAGCTGGATAGGCTGTGAAAGATAGAGACGCGGGAGAGGAGCTATGCTGACCTTTTGCGGGATTGAAAACTTTTGGCACGAGTAGCTACGTTGCGGTGGTCCTTGAAGGGGGCGGGATGGCGTGCAGAGGAGAATTTCCGCTTGGGTCACCGGAAGCCTAAGTTGTGGGTGGACTGACAGCCCGGGGACGGTCTTTGGGCGCACTGCAGCTTACTCTATGCCGATGACAAACCAGTTACTATACCGCGCGTGCAGTTGGGCAGCGACCTGGGGCGGCAGGAAAGATTCGCTCCCGTCGGATGGGATGCACGCTGATATTGCGGGGCTTTGCGTGCTTGTTTTGTCCTGCCAACTCCAATTTCGATGGGCGCTGCAGTGGCCTCCTGCAGCGCACCCCATCTGCAACCACGGCCTGCCCCTGACCACACCTCAAAGTCAAGTCAAGATTCGGACGAATGCAAAAGCAAAAGTTAAAGTACACCCTTGGCCTACGTCGCTGCGAAAACGCGTTTCTCGTGATGGTGTGGTTGAAGCAACGGTATATGCTTGATGCAAGGCGCCCGCCCATGAGACAACAAAGTGCCAAAGTCAAAACAAGACCGTCGACAAGAAGTTGCACGACAATCTTAGCACTTTGGTCCGATTCTGAGCACTCTTTGCAGCAAGCTTGCAGTGTCGAGAGCGAAAGACAGCCTTGGCTTCATCACCGCCACCTGCGAGCTTGGCGCATTTGTGGGCGTGCTCGTGCGTCTTGGACGCCTTCGCTCGAAAGTGTGTCTTTGATCTGGCATGGTTGCCTCGTCATCGTCCGGGTTTCACACCTCCAGCGGCTCGGACCTCATCACCGCAGCCCGCGCTGTTGAAGTAGCGTTGGGTTCGAGCAATCGGCGCTCACGAAGACAGTATATCAAACGTCGTCGCTTGCTCACAATCACATTCCTCCCGCCTGAGCCTTGCTGTGGCCCGTGCAAGCACTTCGTGTTCCCATCCTCATCCTCCATCCGCGCTCGTTGGTCGAGATCGCAAGCCCGTTTGCTCTCGTCTTGTATACACGGGTTTCCCCCTCAAACAAAGCGCAAAGCTCGATGATCGCCAGGCGGTTTCGCTGCATCGGAGAATCCTTATCGTGCACTGGAGATGCTCCCGGCGTCGAGAGAGTCTTCAACGTCTTAAGAAGGGACTTGGGCAACGGCGATACTGCGGCAGATGTGATGCATCGAGGCAACATGGCTACGCCTTTAGCATCGACGATAAGCGGCAAACTGGGCTGGCAGGTGCGTCGGGCTGGTCTTCCGACTTGTCCCGGCGCGGAGTCCATGTGGGGAACCTCGCCGTCAGGATGGTGTGATCGATTCAGGCGATACATCGAAGCGCAACGCACTCCTGTCCTCATGGATGCCACTCACACTAGCAACGTCTCGGCTCCCGCAAGGTTCATGCCATGCCTACTGTCGGCCCCTTCGGCAAGTTGGCAGCAATCGCCGCTGGACATGTGTTCCTAGCCCACCTCGTCTCGTGAAACCGCGGCAGCAGCTCAGGCACCTCGTTCGGCCATGGGTTTCCCTAGGATTGTCCATGCGGTGCAGCAAGAAGGCCTCCCTGCGACGTCCGTCTCCCTGTCTCGCTGTCCTCATGCCTTGAGACGGGCGCTGGCCTTTACGCGCGTCCTGGTGCTTGCGTGCCACTCTCGTTCGGTCAAGGACGACATGGCGACTCGGGGCTGGAGACGCGTGTATTGCAGTGCTACTCTTTCTGGAACAGGAGCGAGAGCGCCATGATCCCCAACAGGGCGTACTTGAGTTTTGGATAGTCGTTGAGTGCGATAGTCACGTACCCGACATACGGCATGTACCTGCGCAGCGACCCGGATCAATGTCAGTGCGATTCTAGCGTCGTAAGCCTAGGTACGATTATTGGCAACTCACCCTCTAACTTTGCCGACCATGTTGGATCTGCGCATCCAGCGCGCGCCGTTGTACAGAGCAATATCGTCCGACTCGTTGTTGTCGCCCTTTGTGAGGATGAGCTGGTCGCCGTCGGGTGCGTCGTGCGTCTCGATGATCCGGTGTACGATAGGAATGTCCGCGCCTGGCACCTTGTATACGGGAATGTCGCCGACCTTGAGCGGACCGCTCGGCATGGAGAGGAAGAGCAGGTCGCCGCGGTAGAAAGCGGGTTCCATCGAGCCGGACAGCACCACGACCACGGGAGATTCGGTGTCTGTCAGCACCGACAGACCCTTCCACATGGCCAGCGCCGTCGAGACCACCGAGATGAAATTGAGCACCTGGAACAAGACCGACCGCACGCCTTGGCGGCGAAGCGACGCAAGCTCCTCGGCGAACATCGTGAAGGCGTTGGGCGAACGACAAGTAGTGTGAAGAGACGAGCAGTGTAGGGAAGGGGGTAAAAAAGGTGGAGAGCAAAGTGGGGTCCAGCGGCGAATGAGAGCCCCGTGCGAAGGCTTCAACGTGTCACTTTTGGAAGCGCCTCAAAGCGTGCATCTCCCGATGGAGGCGGAGATGAGCGCAATCGGGAAGCCAATATGCGCGTCGGGCAAACGCACCTGTTGTTCTGCAGCATTTTGGCGACTGCACCCTGAATCCACTCGGCAGTCGCGCGCTTCCCATAACCGTGCCTTTGTCTCTGTCCATTCACAGCAACCGCCCAACGCCCAAAGCTCAGCCCGTCGTCTTTCAGCCCTGGAGCACCGCCCATATCTTCCCTCAACCTCGACATCGACATCTCTGCATCTTGCGTCGCGACCTGCACATTCGACTGGCAGCACTGCTCAACGATCCCCGAGCTGCTGCTTGCGATTCCCAAAAACTGCGATGGACGACGACCTCGACTTCTTCTGCCGTCGGCCAATCAAGAAGACGCGCTCCAAACCGAAAGCCGAACTGAAGTCAGCCGAGCGCACCTCACCAGGCGAGCGGTCGACCGTGGCAGGCCCCTCAAGCGAGGCCCGCGGTACGGACGATGCGCCGATCGCAATCGATGATGATGATGACGACGACGACGACGACGATGACGACGACATTGTGGAGTCGGGCAGCGGCAGCGACTACGCCAGCGAAGACGGCGACTACGATGGCAAGCGACGCGTGAAGCGGCGCAAGAAGAAACACACACGTACACTTCCAGCGTGGGCCTCGCAGGCTGTCTACCGCCCACCCTCGCCCGAGCCTACACCGTCCTTGTCAGCAGCTCCCAACTCGCTCGATTCCCCCTCTGCGCCATCCACCTCGCGCGACGACCCTGGCTCCTCAAAGCACACGCCGCGCACAGCACGAGCACGCGGGGTGAGCCTCACGCCACCTCCACCTCCGTCGCCGGAAAAGCTGTCGATGGCGCGCGAGCTGGTGTCGAAAGTGATCGGGTCCAAGTTCAGCACCGCGCGAGCTGAGCCGGCGAGGGGTGGGCGGCAGACACGCAACTCAGCAACACCGGGCGCGGCCGAGGCTGGTGCGGCGATGGTCGAGGAGGTGGAGGAGCCGATTCGGTGGGAACCGGACCTGGCGCGGCTCATGCGTGGCGAGGACAAACGGCATCTGAGGGAGCAGGCGAAACGCGAACAGCAGCTGCGCGAAGAACGGCGGCGGCAACGCCAACCACCTGCTGCCGCGCTGCCGCGCACCAACGGTCGCACTGGAGCGAGCCAAGCTGTGGTGCTCGACGGCAACGACACCGACACGAGTTTCGAGGAGTTACCACGACTCTCGACGAGGAGTCCGACCAAACGCAGCGTACGCGCCAAGCCTGCGTCTGAGCCCGTGGTGGTGGTGGATTCCTCAGACGACGAAGCACGCGCGCCCGCCTTGACAAACGGCGTTAATGAGGAGCAGGAGACACTGGGCTTGACACTACAAAGCAAGCTCGGGTCTTTGGGCGTGACGGTGACGCCGACGACGCGGCTGGCGACGATCCTGGAGCACTTTTTGACGCACCATCCGCAGCTCACGGTGCGCGTGGACCAGATGCGCGCCACCTTTGACGGGTACGCCTACAGGCCTGCGCAAACGATCGCGGACATGGAGGTCGAAGACGCGGATCAGGTGGAGATTACATGGTCGTGAGGCAAGGTACAAATACAAAGAACAAGGCTTTTAAATGAGGATGCGACCCTGGTCGTCGCATTTGACCAGACCGAAACAGCAGTCCTGGTCGTTGGGCTTGGCATCGTTGGTGGGGGTGGTGCGCATGTCGAACGAGATGCCGAGTGGAGCGGGTAGCCAATCCTTTGGTTCGGGTCGGGCGGGCGGCGCGTCGAGTTTGGAGCAGCAGCCGGGCTTGCCTGCACTGCCGCACGGATTTGGCTCGGATGCTGGCGCGGCTTTGGGGGGTTCTGAGAGGTGTGGTTCTGGCGGGCGTGGTGAGGCGACGGACCGGACGCGTGGCGAGTGCAGCGGTGCCGCGTTTCTGAACGGTGAACCGACATAGGCGGGACTCGAGCCCGACGGAGGATTGCGCGCGCCGGCGTGCAACGCCTCGGCTCTCGACCTCTCTTCGCGCTCCACAAACGGCGCCAGTGGCGGCAGCTGAGTATACCGCGGCGAGGCTGGCGGCAACCTCCCCGTCGAGCTCTGTCGTGCCGTCCGCCGCGTTCTCGCCTCAGTCGCTGGTGGACTAAACGCTCCAGAATGCCGCGGGCTGTACCCTGCTGATGGCGGTGTGGGCGCGGCGAGTATCGAGCCCGGACTGGGCGTGTGCCACGCCGGAGATGCGTGCGATGCGGGGACGCTTCTGCGTTGGGCTGGATCGTGCCAAGATTCGCCCGGCGCAAAGTAGCTGGCTGTCATGTGTACGCCCGAAGCTGCAGGCGATGCATGGTCTTGATGCGCGCCTGGCTCGTAGCGCATGCGTTTGGAGTGGCGATACGCCTCATCGTTGGGCGGCTCGAGGAGATGTGCGGGGACGGGGATGTTGTGGTGTACCAGCACGGAGCGGAGCGACTTGACGGCGTGTTGGAGCTGTGCCATGTGCGCGTCGACGTGGGTGGCTGCTACCGCCAGCTGACGGTTGGCGTGCAGGATGGGTGCACAACTCTCGCACGTAGCCGTGGGCAGCGATGTGGGTGTCGACGCCGATGTCGACGACGAAGAGGATCGCGAACCACTTGCGACTGCTGCGGGGTGTGCTGGAATTGGATTGGTGGTGAGGCGCGGTGACCTGCTGTGGCCGGGCGAGACAGCATCGCGCTGGAGGAGCTGTCGCAGACGTGCGTTTTCGTCGGTGAGCTCTTTCACCGTCGCCTCGAGGCTGGCGAGGTGTTCTGCCTTGCGCTGTCGGAAGGCGCGCTGGGTCTGGAGCGCGCGCGTGGGCTCAAGCGCGAGGTTTGGACGCCGCCCGCGACCCATGGCTGCACGGTGAGGTTGGAAGAGGAAGAGGAGGAGGTGGTGGTGATGGTGGTGGTGGCACGCCGACGAGGCTGAGCCGCAGGCCCAAGGTTGTGCCTCGGCAACCAGACGCGGCTTCGGCTGTTCAACGTGGGCGCGCTTGCCGGTGGTGCAGAGCTGCACACTGCAGACACTCGCATGAAACCGAGCGAGGAGCCAAGCAGCAGCCAGCAGCTCAGCAGAGAGAGTGACTCGCAGCCACGTCCCCCGGAGAGCAAATTTCGAGCTCCCCTCCCTCCGCTTCGCATCGGAGAGCGTTGCAGGCGGCAAGATCGACGCCCGACCGCCCCGACCGCGCCTTGCCTCCCCGATCTGGAAAAGCAGGAACCCCGCCGGTTGGCCTGCCAAAGCAGCTCAAAAAAATGTGTCAGAGTTGCCAATTTCGCCCAATTTGACCCAATTTGATCTAATTTCGCCTCGACTCGACACTCCAAAACTGGCGCGTGAGGCGAGGCAAGGCAAGGCAAGGCAAGGCGAGGCGCGCATCGAGATTTCAACCGCCCTGCGTGGCGTGGGGAAAAGGTCGACCCTCAAAAGGGCGAGGCTGGCGGGATGCGTGCGTCAAGTCGGGTGGGTCGTGCGTGCGGTGCGGTGCGGTGCAGTGCGGTGAG